TTTTTGTTAATCTCTTTCTTTTCAATAGTTCATAAGAAGGTAATTGGTTTTCCATTTATTCATTAAACTGATGAACTTTTTATCCAGTCTTTATCAAACTAGTACAGTTATAGGTGTGAAAAAGGAATGGCATAAACATAAAAAAAATTTCACTTTCTTGTGTAAAGGAGGGCCACTGATAAATTTTTAAAAATATAGTATCTGTATTGGCTTACTTCATATGATGTACAGAAATTCTTGCTTATATATTTCAGAATGGTTTTAAACTAATTTTTGTTTCATTTATCAAGGGATTATCAAATGACATTGAAGATTCACAATGCTACAGATAATTTTGTTCCACAGCTGCCAGCAGTGGGCGTCCATACCTGCCATACCGTGGTTATCAGCTGTCTCCTGGCCAGCAGTAAAGGTGCTAGCACCAGGTGGAGGAGTAGCTGTAGCTAGAGTCCTGACAAATCAAAAGTCTTCACGGCAGATCATTGAAAAGAATCGTCATATTTCTGACCCTATTTCCTGTGCTACTGTGACAGTCATTCTGCTGAGTGAACCAAACAGGTGAGAATGAGCAGAGGCCCATATTGGGTTATGACACTGAGCTTTATGTAGCCATGTTTGAAATGAACAGTTCGGCCATTCCTTTTATTATGGTTGAAACAGGAGGATGCAAAAGACAATCTGGGGATAGGGCGACATAACCAAATTATCCCCATTTAAAGTAAAGTAAAGTTCCTTTCAGATACGTACACTTAAACATAATAGTATATATTAAATGAAAATGAATCCATAATTTTAAATATACAGTTATCACTCCACATAGATCTCCTTCTGAAATAAAAAAGTTGGCTTCTAAAATAATTTATTATCATGGCTTCAAAATAATTTATAAATTACGGTACTGGTATATAACAATTTTAAAAAAGCATAGCTGTTTGTTATATACATTACAGTAATTATACAAATTAAAGCTATAAGTTGAGGACTTAACTGATGTGAAAACTCATTCATATATGTTAGTACAGTAAATATATGATTTTCAGTATTAATACAGTTAGCTTGTGTTTCAGGTTGCAAGGAAGTGTGGTGACGTCCCTGGAAAAAGTCCTCCTTGCTTGGCCTAAAGTCTGACAAAAACATCATATCTACAATCCATAATGAGCCAAGGGGAAAAATTTTGCTTATTTTTCAAGTAAAATTATTAATAAATACTGTATTTTGTATCATTGCAGTTCATAACAAGAGAATTGTGTGCTAAATATTCATTATTATTTGTGAATTTGTTACAGTACACTAAAAAAACTAAAAATTAAAATTACTTACCATTTGTTAAAATGTTATAAACAAATTGCAGTATTTTTTTTGCACTTGTTGAATTATGTTGGCCCACCAAAATGAAAGGTAAAATCTAAGTCAAACATTCTCTTATTATTAATGGGCCATCCTGGTACATAAAAGGACACAACAATATGTCACATTAGTTGCACTTGTGTCCTTTTACTTAGCATATTGTTGGTAATTCTAAACCCAAAATGAACACTCCTGGTACAGTATATACAAAAATTTAAAATTTAGTTTCCAAACATGGAAGTATTTCTTGCTAATATCTTCTACAGCAGTGTGTTTTGTATCCTCAGTCTAATCCCACTAGTAATGTCCATGACCGCAAGGAGAAACAAAGCAGAAATGAAGATATACTAGATGAGGCAACAGTCAGAAAAGATAAAAAAAAAGTGAATCTGGAAAAATACCCATGAAGAGATGGGGGGTGGTTTTGAACACTGCTTTCCTTCAAGCCAGTTCCTTGACATTCCATTTTTTTGGATGGATAAAGACACTGTTGAGAAGGTGTGTTAAGAAATTTTTCGAATACCATGTGGTAACGGATAAAATATGTATAACGAGGCATGATGAAGTAAAACGAAGGTAGTCTGCTAGAGTACAGATGGTGTTTGGCAGATAAAAGGTATAGTCCATGTTTGTACAGAAGTCTGATGTATATTATCAGTATTACCAGGTATTTTGTGGAAATTTAAGAGCAAGAGGAAGGAGCAAAGGCAGGGTAGATTATGTCAGTAGGTAAAAGGAATAAGTGAATTAATTAAATTAAGAGATAGTTGGTGAGAGGTATGAGCAAATGTTGGAAAAAAGGATAGCAAGCATGAAAATAATAAAAGGACATAAAAGAAATGTTCTTTCAAACACACCAGCTGCATTCCACCAAAGGAGAAATGTATGGTAGTTTAATAAAAACTAAGCAGGCAAACACAGCCATTGTGTATTGATACCTCAGTTACATTGTGTGGTACACAGGCGGGGCTTGACTGACGAGCTAGGTGCCTCAAGCATCACCAGGTACCTGCACAACATGTGGTTACAGGAGGATAAGTACTTTAAAGGGGGGAAGACGAATTATCAGTGGAATAATGAAGGTGGGATTGTGGTGGTTATGGTAGGTGGGTGACTGTCATTGGATCATTATGTTGACCTTTGGATAGAGCTAGGGAGCATGCATTGGTCAATGTTTAATCTCTGGGCTACCAGCCTTGGTGAGAAATAAGCCGATGGCAAAAACTATTATGTATTTACATTTTATAGGATATTTGGGAATTACAATTTGGTTTTAGTTTGTGACAAAGTACATGCATAGGGGAAACTGAAAATCTGGATTTCGTCAGGGAGCAGATTTTTCGTTTTGTAAGAGATAAGATATAAAACTGTTGACAAAATATTAGATGTTTGCTGAGGATTTTGAATTTGTCATATCCTTCTAAATTAGGAAAAAAAACCTATAAATAAAAAAAAAAAAGGGTTTTCATATTGTTCTGACGAGGACGTGCATGAAGTCAGAAAATTCGTAAAAAAAAAAAAGTGATTTTGCAATTTTGGTTCTTTTTTTTTTATTTTGCATTTTACTTCATGCTAAAGATGATGGATCTGTGAACATTTTCTTACAAATGTAATTTTTTATTAAGAGCTAAAATCGTGTTCTATTGTAGCTAAAAAAAATATTAGTTTTAATCCCTAATTGCTCTCTTTGAGGTCAGTAAGTGTTATGTATATAGAGGATACTTTTGTTTCTGCATATATTAAGATCGTTGCTCTTGATACTCTGTGTCAGTATTCTAATGATAATATACTAACGTGTGTAATTTTAATCTTAAAATTATCTAAGATTTATGCATGGCATCTTTGTCAGCATGATTCTTGTGAAGGTCTTTAGCATTTTTCAAGATTCTGGAAAGGAAATTTTTCATAATTTTTCTTTGTGCTCGTGATGATACAAGAAACAGTGCCAGAAGAGTAACTAACTCCATTGCAGCTTCAAAATGAAAATGTTAAGTGTTTGGTTAAGTAAGAATTCTTTGTACTTTCTGAACTTTTGTATAAATCATTTACACAAGGTCTAAAACAAAGTGCGATGCTTGACTCGTTTTCCAGTCAGCATATTTTGGTACTGCCATTTATCATTGTGCAAACATTAATAAAATTTGCTAATAAACACATGGAATTTTATTTCCTTCATTGAATGATTGTATACCTGCCACTTGTTCATATAAATGTAAAAAAAAAGTGCTTTAACAACATATTTTACTTTATCATTATTTGCCCTTCATGAGAACTGTATGCAGATTTTTATTAAACATTATTATTTTTATTTTATCCTTTTAGTTTTATGTATTAGATATAAAAATTTCTATAAAACAAATTATTACCTACTCAAAACAGCAAATAGCCATTCCTTGTAAATTAGTACAGTACTGGTACTGCAATTGAAATTCCTAATTATTTAATGCATTTTAATCCCTCAAGGAAGGGCCTGGTCATGGAATTGGAGGTATCCTCACTTCCTTGGATAAATCTGATGTCCCTCATTCCCAGACTGTGTGATT